CCCTGGACGTGGCCGACTTTGCTATTCTCCTTACTCTCTGTACGGCGTCGACTGTACTCCTTCCCCGGCGGAAGCCAAACTGACAGTCGGCCACGTCCGGACCATCTCCGGAGAGGTGCGCAACAAGTCTATTCGCTATTACTTGCTCGAAAATCTTTCCCACCGCGTAGTACGATCGGCCGGTACGACCCCGGTTCGCCGTCGGGCTTTCCCTCTTTGCATATTTTTTATAAATTTTAACCCTTTACGCTCCTCATTGAGAAAAACGCAAAGAAAGAATTTGTTTAAATTTTCCGATATTTTATAACAAATTGATGGAATTAGAAAAAATATTTTAAAATAGCCCAATCCTTCATGAATAAAACAAAAAAAATTTAGCTCAATCGGTTGAGTAGTTTCTGAGAAAAACATTCCTAAATGGACCCTATTTTCGCCAAAATGGGCGAAAATTGCAAACTTTGAAGGCTTGCCATTCACTATCGAATTCACATGGACTACAACATATTTCGATTAGAACAAAATCGGAGATGGTGACTTCCAAAAGTGATCGATTTGGCGTGGAATGACCCATATATTATATATATTATAATATATATTATATAATATATTAATATTAATATTATAATATTATAATACACTGCTGTACAAGGGTACATTTGACTACCTTATCCGGCTACACCCTTTTTATGACCCTATATTTCCAAGTCTTTAAATCTTTAAATTTTCAAATGTCTAATTTCTAAATTTAAAAATTTTTTAATTCCTAATTTTCATATTTTCAAATGTTTAAATTTTTCCGAATTTTTAAATTTAAATTCTTAATTTTTTAAACATACGATACTTGTTGTAATATACAGTTTTTTAATTTTTTTTCAACGTAGAAGAAAAAAAAACTGTCTTACAGTTGATTGTCTTACAACTGACCTTAAAAAAACATAAAAAAACGAGTTGAGAAATAATTCTTCACAATCACGTTAAAGCTCTTTTAAAATCATGTGAAAGCTGATAAAAATATTTTCAATCCGACTGCTAGTAACAGAGTAATTTCCACTGGTGATTCGTGATTCACCCTTTATGTTATCAGTAGTATATTGTCAATATTTCAGCATCAATTTTGCAGTAAGTTTTTCAAAACAGATTTTATTAAACTAAGGATATAGACACTGCCTATGATAAGCGCGACATATAATTTTTTAACGTTGTTTGTAATAAAAGTATCGACTTAATAGTAATCACAACAGAAACACTAATTACTTATTAATTTTTCAGATTTACTTGGCGTAGTCCAAAATTTATTTATTGTGCAATTTCATTCTTCGGTTCATCAATCATGACAATTTTTAATGTTTTGAGGATAACTTCGACGGGCATAACTTCAACAAAAATGAGTAAGATAGATTACATTTTTCTCACCTGTTTTATTACTTGATAGGTGTAGATACAGAGTTGAAAATTTAAGACGTGCTTTTTGAAATGTCAAATTTAACTGTTTTCACAAACCTTCAGAAAATTAATTTCTTAAAAAATAATACAAATTAAATTATTTCTTTAAATTTTCGAAATATAAGGTTAAATTATTTTCATTTTCACGAACTAATCATTGTACAGTTATTAAAACTGGTAATTCTCAATTGATCAATGTAGATCATACTTAACATTTCCATTTTAATATAAAAACAATAAATCAATAACTCATAAATCATTCGTTGCGGAAATTATGTTTTTCGGAGTCATATCCATTGTTGTAGTTGCTTTATAATTTTCTTTTCGAAATGTGAACATTACCTTCAGTTTTTAAACGGGATGTATAATCTGCCTAAAATTAGTATTTACTGGGATATAATCAAATTAAGTTCCAGTTCAAGTAATATTCGATGTTGTATATTACTCTCGGTCCGCTTTCTTAATTTGATTATAAATGAACGATAGATTCTTTCAAACATTTCTATAATTATTGTGGTACATTCACGAATAATTCGAACTCACAAATCTTCATCTGTCTTGGGTAGTTCATAATGATCTTCACTTTTTAATTCTCTCTAAGGACATTAATCAAGTTGTTAAATCTGGCGAGTAAACTGGCTAAGTAATACTATTACCTTATCTGATTCAGCTATTTAAACATTTTGTTTAATATCGATCAGTATGACGGTATCACATTTTTAAACGCATTAAGAACGATACATCTAATAGGTCTAGTCATATTTCTGACAGAAAAGTGGAATATGTCTGATCCGTTACTGATTGTGGGATTATTTGAATGGTTGTACAATAAAACATGTATTTAGTCAAAACTAGGTACAATATTCTCTTCATAAGTGTGGAAACCTCGTTTCTGCAGTTTCAGATTTACATAAGAAGTATTTTATTCTTTGTAGTGTGTCGAATGTAGTATCGTCACATCACGAAGAGCCAAGCTGGGTTTTATTAAAGTGATTATTTTTCATTGGTTTGGTTACAAAGACTCCCGCACAATATAAAGTTAAAACTAGACTAAGCGTATGGGATTATCGAAGGGCCTTCTTTTATACTAGAATTTTGGAAGGTGATGGCCCAATGGTGGGGAGATGTTCCAGGAAAGGGAGGTTTTTTAGGTGAGGACATAAAAAGCACAATCATGTAAGGATAATAAAGGAAATCGTAAATTTGCGGTAAGAGTTTTTTCGGGCCTTACGGGTAATATCGCTGATGGTCTAGGTAGATAAGTAAGTCTACGGGGGTCTACGGTCCCAACGGTAAGTCCGAAGAGAAACGTGGAAAGAATTGTCCATCAGAGTGTAAGTGGGATCGTAGACCCCTGGCTATCGGTTTCGCCAGGCAGAGTCAAACATGCTGCACTTACCGCAACAATAAGACTGCTTTTATAACTTACCAATCAAGTCGACACGTCTCCGCTGAAAATCAGTAAATTTCTAAGCATTATATCTCGAAAATTAACAAAAATTGGATAAATACATTAAATCTTAATGAATTCGTCTTGAAAAGCATTATCACTTGATCGAAATAAAATATATAGTTCCATTTAAAAAACGAAACTTCATCATCATATCTTTCAAGTTAATAACATTAAAAAAATTTTGTTTATGCCAAAACATAGAGTCCCTTTTACCCTACAATTTCCATATAAACACTTTTTCGTGTCATCAATAGTTTATGAAATATTGCCCTGTCACACTTAGGCGCAGACACGCTGTATATGTACATATAACAGTATGAAATGATTTTCCTTTGCGCGACAGTAAAGGTACAACGCAATGACGCAACCATTCAACGACTTCTTTTTACCACTCTTCTTGAAGAATTCTTGATCGACTTCAACCTCTCAATTTTAATGTTAATTTTAACCTCGATCCACTAGTGAGTGTTTTCCAAAAAACATAAAAGTATTACACCACGCGGAGGAGGACACACATTGCTTTCTTTGGATCGTTAGGCCTGCAAACGTCGCGAATCTATTGTAGTATCGTAATTTTATGCTGCGTAATATAAAATTATAATATATGGACAATGCATCGATGCGTCGATGTTTTTTGAGGAATGTAGTGGGAGAGGAAAAGAGAGCTCGTGGGTTTTTTCCGAGCGGACAAGGGACAGTTGAAATGTCGATCGTCTCGTGCAAATTGCGTAAAAAGTTGAAATAATTACGTAACAGTTTTTTTTGTCTATCAGGTCGCTGTACATTTACCAAATCAATTAAACCATTATTATTATATTTTATTCCATTAAATATATATTATTTTCTATACTATCGTAAACTATCCTACGTATTAATTAATCTACGCTCTTACACTTAACGGATCATACAATCCTACACTATTTAATGGAATCGATTTTTGATCTGGTCATTACCAATGCCGTTCCAAACATTAACATGCCTTCTATATTAATGGTCGATTTTACAAATCCAAACAGATTCTATTCTACGTAATAATGCCTTCTTTTTGAAGGTTATAGCTAGATGAGGGTTGAAATGTGTCCTTAAGCCAAATGAACTTACAATAGTATATCTAACAATAAGTATGTTAGATAGTAGCATTTATAATAATCTGCGATGCGTATCCTTTCACAGTTCTGGATTAAGTGCCTTTTTTTTTTTTATTACGGAAGAGAGAAATCCTTATGGGCACCTGGCAAGATGGCCCAGGTAGTGTGGAGAGTCGCGCTTCCGGCGCCCCCCTAGCGGGAGCGGTTTTCACGCACACGCACTAAAACTCTCTCCCTCCCTACCCCGGGGGTGGCGGAAGCCCGATGAGCTTCATCATCAGTGAGATATGTTCCACTCGCTCTAGGCCGTCGCTTGCGTTCGTTGAAAAAGAGACTGAACCCCCCTCTTCCGCGTGTGCTCAGCATGTAGAGAGAGGATGCACGCGTGTGATGGCTCTTGGTCCAGGTAGTTTATTGTCAATTTGAGCTTTAGTGGCCACAATGCCGCGCCTAAGCTTTATAGCTTATAATCGGCAGGTGTTCGAGTCTTAGACCCACCACCGCACAAGAGTCGGAGCCCAGTCCAATCAACGGGTTCTAAAGACATCACCTGACTCCATTGCCTGCTGTAAGGAATTTTCTCTAGGTTCAGTAACTGCTATTGGGCTAGAAAGCACCCAACAGACGGGAGGGAACCCCTGGTCCAGGTAGTCTCGTCGGGTTCCTCGGGGAAGTCTTTGCGCAAGCGCTTCCAACTTCCGCTTCAGTCTGTAGCGCCACTCGATGCCTCCTTCCACGCCGTCCGCACATACCGTCCTAAGACCGCGACCTCTCTCCGTCGCATTGCACTTCCTATCAAAAAACAAAACAACATGAAAATCGTCCAAAGTTGATTTCAAAACTTTTCAACAATTTTTCGCTAATATCTCGAAAACTAAACCTTTCCGCAAAATTTGTACATGAACAAAATTGTTCAGAATCATGTCCGTGATAAGATATTAAAAGCGCACTAAAATCAAGAAAAGTTTATTTCAAAAGTTGCCGGTTTTTTTGCAATAACAATACTTTGCAATTAAAAAATGAAAAATTTTTTGATAATGGTACCAATGGGGAGTCAGAACCTACCAAATGCAAAAGGTTTCGTTCCGATCGGTTCATCCAGCTAGGCGTAATCGGCGGGCACACATAGAAAAAAAAATATACTGATCGAATTGAGTAACCTCCTCCTTTTTCGAAGTCGGTTAAAAATATGTCGAAATCCCCTCCCCCGTAACTTTGCACAACTATTTCGCGTCTCTATGTTTTACTAATATCTCCCCTAATCTTCTACTCCAGTCTCTATTTCCCCGAACGCTACAGTTTTCTCCTTCCTCTCTCCTGCCGATCCCGCTCGGTCCCCATTGTCGCCCTCTAATGGTGCCATGACCAGGCTGACGACTGAGTTCCTTGCTGAATCGACAATTGATCAGAAGGGTGGTTGACAGAGTTGACCTTTCTGCCCCCTCTCCCCCGCTACCTCGGTCCCCATTTTGTGCCCCCTAATAGTGCCATGACCAGGCTGACGACTGGGTCTCTAGTTGAATCAACAGTTGATTAGATGGGTCCTCTGCTCAATTTGACCTCCAGAAGTATCCTCTGTTCAATTTGACCTCTCTTCCTCCTCTCCCCCGCTCCGTCGGTCCCTGTTTTGTGCCCCCTAATGGTGCTATGACCAGGCTGACACCGGTTTCCTCCTTTGCAAG